CGTTTGGGCCTGGGGCGCCCGCCCACCTGCGCGCGGGCGAGGGCTTCCTGGGCTGCGGGGGCGGGCGGCAGCCCCTCGGCTCCGCGGCGGAGTTTGTGCCGGCAGCGGTCTCCCCCGGTCGTTCCTCCTGGGCAGGGGGACCGATCTCCTCGTGATTCCGAGGGGAGAGTTGGGCACTGAGGAAGCCCGCCCTGGTGAAGCAGTTGCGTGGCTCGTTACTAGCGCAGCGTGAATTGAAACATGGCAGGGGACACCGCCCTGCCACTGCTTTCTAACCTTTTCGTTTTTCCTTTCGGATGGAATCTAAAAGCCGCTGGGAGTTGTCAGTTGCATCTTTGATGGAGTTTCCCCTTTCTCCACCCACCTCCCCTTGCTCTTTGTTGTTGTTGTTGTTACTTTAAGCCAGTAAGTTGTTACTGGGCACCTCGACAGCTCAAGTAGCGTTGTTGGTCTTTCCTCCTTCTGGATGCTTTTTCTGAAATTTCCTTCCCAAAAGCAAGCTCTGTTGGAAGGGGTTAGGTTGCGAATATTGTGAACGTGTGTTTGCTCAGGAATGGGACGTTACAGACATAGGAATTAGTATTTTTCGGGTGTCGGTAAAATGTAGACTCTGAACTGAAAAAAGGCTTACAGTTGCATCAACCAGATCAGTCGACAAATATGTATTGTACCTGCAATGTGTAAAATTTACTCTATTATCTATACAGACGTGATCGTGCCATATCACAGAGGAAGTAGAGAAAGTATGCTTATTCATATTAAAATTGTTAAGCCAGTTCACTACTCAGTTGTATTCTGCTGACACGGGCAAAATCAAATGTCTAAAAAAACAAGATATCTCAATTTTGCAGAGTCATAGCATTTGGGCCAGTGTCAGTGGGCAAAGAGTTGAGCTCTTCAAGAAAATAATATAAAAAAAGTGAGACTAAAAATGTTATCCTTTTTTTTCCTAACCAAAGCTACCCGGTTCCTCTGATTTTTATATGCTATTTATGAAATCAAAGTAACATGCATTAAGCACGGCTTTGTTCCAACCGAGGCACCGCAGAAGAAGCAAAAGCTTGAGCTTTTGATCAAATAAACACAGAATAGTTAACAACTAGCCTTGGATGAATTTTTATGGACAGTACATATTCTGAAGGACCAGAAACTTAAGAAGTCTTTGACTATGACATATTTGTGGGGTGGGCAGTGGTCACAGTTGTAATTTTTGCTGTCTGGTTTCTTCACCTTTACTTGTTTGCCTTGTGAGTTTCTGCAGCTCAGACATTTTGGATCTTTACAAAGCAGAAATAGCTTGCTGGATTCTCTCAGGGAAAACACACACACACACACACACACACACACACACACACACACACACACACACCAAAAAACTTTAATCCCCTACCCTGAAATATCATCTTAAATTACTTTAAATTTGCATCATGTCTAGAATTCAGCCTAGCAAAATTCTGTTATTTCTTTTAACCTAAAAGAAAAAAAATCACAAAGTACCTCAGCCCTTTGTGGTTAAGCCACAGAGGATCTTACAAGGGAGCAAACTGAAGCTGAATTTTGCAAACCAATTGTCAATCTCCACAAAACTATGAAAACCCAATTTAAAAAGTAATACAAACTTTTTTTTAACAGAAAAATCAGTTTGTTTCTGCTATAATGTTTTAGATTATAATTTTATTTAAGAAATATTCATTAAATGCCACTGTTTACTCAAAAGCATTGTTGGGGAAATAAAACCTAGCATCTTAGATCAAAGAATCGAATAGGAACTTAGAGGTCGCCTTATTTGGTCTCCCATAGCCTCTGTTTAAGCAGCTTTTATTGCTGGGTTGTTTTTTTGTTTTTTTTTTTTTTCCTTATGTTGTGTTAAACACTGAATTCAGTTAAGTTTCTAAGAAAGTAAATAATAAGTCTCCTTTAATCCTTTGCTTTTTCTCTTTCCTTCATTCCTTTTAAAAAGTTTTTTGTCACCTTTTCTTCCACCCTCTCTTCCTTTGATTCTCCCATTGATCCATCCACAAACCCTCCTCCTTTCTTTCTTCAAGCACTGCCACACGGTGGATAAATACAAAATGAAAATTCGTGGCCCCTACCCTTGAGCTCATAGTCTAGGGTGATAGTTCTCTACATTTCTCCCACCCAAGACAGATAATATTCACATGCTCAATCAACATTGTCACAGGGTAGAAGTGAAGATAAGGCAAACTGTGGCTCACCCCCAGTTTCCAAACCCATCAGTTGTAATTCTGCCCCTATACTCAGCAGAGTATATTGGAATATAAGTGGACAGGAGTGACTTTACAGGAGCAACCTTGATTCCGCATTGTTTAAGAGGGAGGGAAAAGTAAATTGTTTTCCGATTTCAGTACTTCAGCTTTTATTAGTACAAACAAGTTGCATACATCTCGGCACTGATGAAACACACCACAATGACCCAACACCACGGTGGAAAACCGCTGGTATAAGGAAGCTAAGTGTCGACTGTTTCCTTTTTGGTGCTTTGGAGAGTCTAAGGGAGCTGTGCATTCTCTTGGTCTTTTCTTAAGGCCATCACAGTGTTAGTAAACCATACACTGTCAGGTGGATATTACACTTCTTCAATCTTTTTCTCTAAATATGGTGGCCAGGGGGGGCCTGGGTGGCTCAGTCAGTTAAGCGTCTGACTTCGGCTTAGGTCATGATCTCACGGTTCGTGGGTTCAAGCCCCACGTCGGGCTCTGTGCTGCCGGCCCAGAACCTGGATCCTGCTTCAGAGTCTATATCTCCTTCTCTTTTGCCCCTCCCCTGTGCACGCTCTCTCTTTCTCTCAAAATAAACAAACAAACAAACATTAAAATTAATTAAAATTAAAAATTAAAAAGTGAATATGATAGCCAGAAATAAAAATTCTAAGACCGCACTTCTATTAATGCAGCTTCATATGTCCTTAGTTTACTTGTAGTTACACTGTAACTAATATTCAATAACAACTAGGTATTAGTTTGCTAAACTCTGAGGACTCAAAAAACAAAGGAACACTGTACTGCCTTCAACAAGGCAATGTGATAGGTGCTATAATAAAAACACATATATATTTCTTTTTTAAAAAGGTTTTTTTTGGGGGGGGTTATTTTGAGAGAGAGCGTGCATGTGCACACGCAAACGGGGGAGGAGCAGAGGGAGAGAGGGAGAAAGAGAATCTTAAGCAGGCCCCACCCTCAACGCAGAGCCTGACGCGGGGCTCTGTCTCTTGGCTGTGAGATCGTGACCTGAGCTGAAATCAAGAGTCAGTCGTTTAACCAACTGAGCCACCCAGGCACCCCAAAGATTTTATTTTTAAGTAATCTCTACACCCAACATAGAGCTTAAACTCACAACCCCAAGATCAAGAGTCCCATGCTCCACCAACTGAGCCAGCCAGGTGCCCCTGTATATGGTCCTTTCAAAAGAGTTTCATGAAGGGAAGGCATACATAACCTTTATCTTTGGAGGTTCACAAAGGCTTCAGCCTGAATATAGTTAGGGGAATAGTAAGGGATATTGCACTACACTCAAAGAAGGGTGGCATCGTGTGGGGGAACATGGGGATCCCAGGTAAGGGGAAGAGCATAAGTAAAATCACAGA